GTGCGAAAGTTTTCCTTTTTCGCAAGCCATTTGGCCAAGGCCGATGGACGGGCGCCCAAGAGTCTCTGGCGACCACGCAACAACGCATTGCCAGCAGTCAACACTTGAAAATATGGTACTTCAAAACTTTAATTTTTGGGTAAAACTTTAATCAGAAGGCTTTTAGAGCACCTAGGTGTCTAAAATTATGCAACAATATATTTTTGGTTAAAACTCCAATAAAATCATACCGACATTCTATGTCGAACTGCATACTTTGAGGCTCATTTATAAATAAATTTAAGTCCCTAGTTAGGCCCAATATAATTATTCAAGCTGATTATTAAAATCTATACTATATACTAACATATGTTTTTCATTGAAAATTGAAAGCCTTGTCTTTAAATTGAAGTTAAAAAATATATTTTTAATAATAATTTTTAGTTATAATATCAATATTTCATTCATGTATAACACTATCTTAATATGCCTATTAGATTATGTAATACCAATCTCAACTCAAAAGCACAACGTTTGTAATTTTTCTAGTTGTGTAATCGGATTAGACCGTGCCCAAAGGGTTGTCCGGGCCAAAAGGGGCGTGTCCGGGGGCGTTCTACCAGCTTATGTGATTATAAGCCAAGAACGCTTTCCGTACGTCCGCATGTCCGTGTGTATGTGTTTTTGTGCAATTGGTGTGACTCTGAAATATTCCGTCTTTAGGTGGCATTTGCTCAATTTCAAGCACAAATAGGCGATAAAGCCGGCAAAAGCCCGCCGCTAATTTCGAATTAATTTGCACCCAATCAAGCGCACACATAATACCCAGAAAGTGCAGTCCCGGGTTAAGATCCCCGATTCCCCGGTGAGAATTGAGGCGATTAACGTGCAATACCCAAGTGTGAAAGGCGAAACTGAGAAATATGCTAAAATCTCTGAAGAACTTGTATAAACAAATAAATAACAACAAGATGAGTGCCCCGATCGCAGCTATTCATCGTGTATTTATGGGCGATAGCCGCTAATTTGCGTGTAAGATTTTATTCTCGGCTCTTTCCAAATGCCCTTCACACAATTTGTTTATAGAATTAGAAAGATCGTTCAGATTGCCAGCTGATTAGTTTGTTGATTCGCCTGGCATTTTATGGTAATTCATTTTAATTGCTTTTTTGTTCGTTTCTGGTTTGTGGGGTTTGGCTTTTTAGCTGCCTCCTCCGATGGCCTGAAACCGAAACAGAGTCGGGCAATCGATGGCCTGCAATTTGTTTGTTGTCAGGCGATGAGGGGTGGGCGGGGCAGGCGGTTGGGCGGCAACTACAAGCGAGTGTATCTACAGTCAAGTGCACTGAGAAAAACTGGGGTGGTATCGGAAGTAACATTGTAAAAACTTGTATTTTTAATTAAGTAATATTAACTGCTTACGTTGATGGGTGTTATGGATATGGATTTAAGCAAAATTCTTTTAAAACTTTAAATATTCAACTCTAAAATAGCTAGAATTTTTAAACGTTCTTATCATTCTATCAATAATTGAAGTTTATTTATAAATGCTAAACTTTGTTATAACAAAAAAGTAAATAAAGCAAAAAATTTTCATTTTTTAAGTATGAATATACAGTTTATTTTACTTAAGACAGTTACAAAGGTGTCTAAAAGTATGCCGTACAAATAAAAATGCCATCTTTCGAATCGTAAATAATTTGTTGCATACTTATAAGCATCGCATTTAAAATCACTTTAAGTTTATGGGTCGTTTAAGCATTACGTGATGGATGGCCGGATGATCGGATGGCCGATTACCCACCTAATTTCTCGCAGTGCACCTGTATAAGCGATTGTTCAGCAGATGTTTGCCCGGCACTCAAAGGGCTCAAGGGAGGGGACTACTACCGGGCATGCTACCTAGTCACCTGGAGCACCACCCATTGCCGCCCACTGGGGGCACCTCCACTCACCTCGAATCCTCGGATCTTCTGCAGCTGCTCGTTCCACACCAGGTAGACCAGCGAGAGGGGCAGGAGCAGCAGGGAGACGGCCGTGAAGATGAGCAAATAGCGCCGGATGGCGCGACAGTTTGCCAGGCTCTTGCTCAATTTCATTTAAACTCGGCTCTATCTGGAACATAGGAACTGATGCGGATTCTCCTCTGTGGCGCTCGCTTCCTGTTTTCTGCTATCTGTTTTCTATGGGGCTGTGTTGGATTGTATTGGTGTTATATTGGTTTGATTCGGAATTGATTTCGGATAGACGGCGCGTGTCTGCTATTGATAGTCGTGGGACATTTCCGATTGCCGCTACGCGTCCGCAAAGTTTGCCTGCAGTTGGCGACAGATTTTGTAAGTTCTCATCGTTGTCGACGTCGTGCTGGCTAAATTTAGTTTGCTGTGCTAAATGTTCTTAACCAAAAAGCAAAAAAAAAGCGAAAGAACAGAGACCGAAAAAAAGCAAGAGTGGAAACCAAAAATATATTGAGTGAGCCGGGCGGATGACAGTATTTGCTTTATGGTCGAGTGGCTTTCGACCAAAAATTGTGTCACTGCAGTCGGGTTAAAATTTCAGGCCAAACAATTGATTCGCTTCCGCCTTTGTTCAGCTTTTTCAGCTCTTTGTATTATGTTTGTTGGGGGTGTGCTTTTGGGGCCTCTACATTTTTCGGCTGCAAGTCAGGAAGCGAGTGAAGGGAAGTCCTTTATTGATTTTCTGCTCACTTGAAACTCCATTCTCGGCAGTGCAACTTGAGGTGTTTTGTGGAGTTTGTGGGGAAAACAACCCCACATAAATTACTTGGCTCTTCGTCTTGTCTGCCTGCCAACTCTTTGCTTTTAATTTACAATTTCTCTTTTGTTTTCATTGCATTGTTTGGTATGTCTTTTGATTTTCTATTATAATACGGATACATTTTTTATACACATTTTTCAAATTTAAGATAGTGCTGTCTTTTCCCCGTACTTACAGCAAACTGTTGACTTCCCTTTGTTATTTATTTTAATATTGATTTCTTGCTCACTTCAAACTCCTTTTGTAGGCCTTGTAGAACACCAAAAACACCCCCTATATGTTTCCCTGCTCTTCTTTTTGTCTGTTTATGTTTATAAAGTCATGGCTCTTCGTTTTCATTTTTTGCAAGCTTTTCAGTTTGCTCTGGATTTTTATTTATTTGATTTTTCACGGCTTTTCTGCTGACCTTAAACTCTATATAAATAAATGGTTCGTGTTAAAGCACTTTCTGTATATTTTGCAGATTTATGTTCTTTTTTTGTACGTTAAATATTTCTTATTTATTTTGATATGCGCCTCCTAGAATATTTTCTAATACATATTGAGGCACTAAAAAAAAAAACTTTTTTTTTTGGATTTGTTTTGTTTTCCTTTGGAAAATATTTGTTTATAACATTCGTTTGCTTTTTATAACTTGCCACTGTTTATGTTCACTTTCTAGTTTTCATTTAAGGCTTAATAGCTTTTAAGGTCATCCATTGTATTGTTTGGCAATGTTTCTTCTCTGTTATTTAATTGTTTGTTAATAATTTTACACACACTCGAGCACACAGCAAACTGGCAAACAAATGCAAAATGCGGGGCGTAAGAGGCGTATACGTAACGTGCTGTCAATTGCCTTGCTTTATGTGCCCTCTCTCTTCGCTCTTCGCGTTTCCCTTCGTCTCCTCTCACAACAATAAACAACAAACAACAAACACAGGGGGAGATGGGCCTCCATTAATGGAGGGCGACTTTTTTACTTGTTTGTTATTCAATTGTTTGCCAATTGAGGAAAAGCGCGCAATCAATATCAATTCGCCAGGCGTGCTGTGATTATTTTAATAATTTTTTTTATTTGTTTCCTAATAGAGTGAGGCGGGGGGTGTGTGGGCTTGATAGCGAACAACAAACACTAACCGTTAGCGTCATCACCGCACAACGCACTTTTCACGAGTGAAATCAAAATCAAATGCGAAATGAGCACAGGCTAGAAGCAGCGACGCCGGCAGCGCAGCAGCAGCGCAGTTTCAGTTTTCGGTTTCATTTCGCCAGTTTTCATTCTCTCCTCTCTCCTCTCTTCCTTCTTGTTTTCCTTTTTTTGCTTGCCATTCCTCAGCTCCTTGATTCCTTGACTCTTCCTTGAGCTTGTTTACCTGTGTGTTTGTTGCTATTTTTGGGTTGCTGTTTTAGGGGGTGGTCACCTTTGATTTGTTTATCAACGGGCGGCGGCCAGGGGGTGGGAATTCCTCGGAATTCTGGGTTAACGCAGCACAACAATTTTTGTTTATTGCTGAGCAAAAAGCGCCGGTAACGGTGAATGGGAGAGCGATGGGAGAGAAAGTGCAGAGAGAGTGCAGTGAGTGCGCAGTGAGAGAGCGGCATGCAAAAGGTTTGCGGCCAGGGTTGCGTGGGTGGGTCCGAAAGTTATGGAGCTAAAAATAGAACACAAGCAGTCTAAAGTAGTTTAACGTTTTATGTCCTTTAAAAATAGTTTCTTCACTTGTAAATGTATCATAAATCCACACTTTAACCATTTTTGTAGCATACTTTCAGGAGTGTTCTGTCAACACAGATTTTTGTTTCATAATAAAGAAACGTGCCATGAATTTCAATATAGTTATGAATTATGTAAAAGTTTTCTAAAAACAATGTGCCAAACGGTCGCAAAAATAAAGAAATTGATCTTTGTCTACAAAGATGTGTGTATTAAAAAGTTCTTCTATGTACATTTTTAAAAGCATATTATTTTTCCCAAAAATAGAACCATTGACAGATAATTCAGTTTGACGATGACAATCTCGAAAATAGCCTTCAGTTAATCTAATTTATGTTCGAAAAGTTTCCAAAAATAGCATGCAAGTTCAGAATATGTTAGTATTCACATTAACTTATACTAAAGACTCCTCAAGAAAACTAAACAAAAAGCACATGTTTTTGCATTATCAGTTTAATACATGAATACCCCCTATTCACCCATCTTATCAGGTCTTGGTCAATACCAAACTGAGCAAATTTACAATTTCCATTGATAGATTAAAATCCACCGTTTTCAATTTCAAATATATTCCATTATAAAAATATGCCTCTGTTTCATAAAATGTTAACATTTCTGTGATGTTATAAATATTCGCTAGTTGAAAAGCCACAATTGAGAGGTATTAAATAAATGCAAATGTGGAAGGTATTTGTCTCAATTTGATTAACTCTCAGTACTTGATGAGGGAATGTACTTTTCCATCCAGCTTCTGGCGACCCTCCAGGCCAACCAGTTCCATAACGACCAGGCTTTCCACGACAATGCCGCCCACTTTGCGGACAAGTTCAGAGGCTGCAAATAGGGAACCACCTGTGGCTAGTAGATCATCTACGATTACGACCTTCTGACCCGGCTGAATGGCGGAACGCTGCAGCTCGAAGGTGTCCTAAAATGGGAGAAGGGTTCTTAAATGAAGGGTATAGGAACTTCTGTAACTAGAACTTGATAAGCCCCACTCCTATAATTAGGTGTAATGCATTCCAAAGCATGAAGATAGGTGTGCCTTACAATATTCTCAGAAGTAAGCTCGTCTAGTTATAGTACATTAAGAAAACTAAGGGATACTTACAGTACCGTACTCCAGTTTGTATTCCACGGAAACCACTTCTCCTGCCAGCTTGCCCTTCTTGCGAATGGGGGCACATCCCACACCCAACTCGGTGGCTATGAGGAGGTTGAAGAGGAAGCCCCGGGAGTCCAGACCCACGATGATCTCCGCCTCGGGAGCGCTCTCCCGGATGTGGTCCACCAGCAAATCCCTCAAGTAAACACAGGCCTTGGCATCGGTGAGGGCACCAAATATATCGCTGATGTTTTACATGGAAACAGAGGGTTCTACACATTAACAACCTGATAAGAGCCCATTTGTTTGTCCATAAACATCATTGTAGCACCATTAGTGCCTCAGATAACCTGGTGCGATTATAGCTTCACAACCCACCGGAATATTATGCCCTCTTTCGGAAAGTTTGGATACTCGCCGATCTTTGACTTTACGTAGTTCAGTTTGTCTTCCGCACTGATTGGGCTCATCTTTTTTCGTTTTACTGGTTGCTTTCAGTCTTCTTGAGAGTAAGGGAATTTTTACAGAGGTTTTCAGATACTTCAGAACTACGTGAGTGCGTGCCCAACTGCGGATTGGTTTAAGGGAACAGCTGATAAGTCAGCTGCTATCGGAGGAGGTGGTTGCTATAGATGGGAGATACTTTATACGATGAACAGTCGTGTTGAGTTTGCTGGGCGCTCGATTTGAAATTTTGGTGGATAAGAAAAACAAAGAAGAAATAACTGAAACTAAAAACAAATTAAACAATATTGAAATTCAATTTTTATTAAAATTTAGTTTACATTTCTTATGACGCAATATTTAAACAATAAAGAATATATTATTGGCACGGAATATTAAAAAAATAATAATATTTTTAAACTACCGGATTATAAAGTAAATAAATACCTAATTTATTATAATGTTTTTTAACATTTTTACCTTTTAGAACTAATTTTAGTTTTAGAGAAATAAACAAATATTCAAAAATGAATAGGACAGATGCTTGTACTTAATATTTAATATGGTTTTAAAAAGTGAATCCTGTTTTTAGAAATATATATTTTTAAGAAAAAAAAACACAACTATTTAGATAAATTCTCACTGTTCCTTCTGCTTTCCCACACTTATCTCTGAGTTACAATCCTTCACACATGCTGGCTAGTTTGGGATTGTCTTGCACACAGAAAGCATTTCAGGGAATTCGGCAAACATCCTGCAGGTAGCAATGGAAAACCTCCCCCGAATTTTCTCCAATTCCCCGATCTCAATGCTATCTAAACGATAAGTGGAGAAATCTCAGCAATTCTTCGAGGGAAAGAAACTCATTGCTGCATTATTTATCGAGCAAAATGATTGAAAAGAAATGCCAACAATTTCGCTGCACTTATCAAAGGCGGGCCAAGATCGGGAACTCTCACCTGGACTCCCTCTCTTTCTCCTTCTCTCTCTTTCTCTTTCTCCCGCCTGCACAAACACACACGCAGGTGAACTACAGGTAAGACCAGGTGAATGTGAGTATCTATGTGGCTGTATCTTGGACTCCCAATGCCAAGAAATATTCAGTTCGTATTTCAGCGCCGAACGCGACGGTTCAGTCTTAGCGGTTTCTTCCGAAGAAGCGGATCAAATTCGAACTCTCTGCCCGCGGTTTTTGTACATTAATTAATGCAAACCCGCGAACAATAGTAGTGAATTAAAATAACAACAATAATCAACACCCAAGTCCAGTTAAAACCGAAACCTGTTCTCGATCAACGTAAGCTAACGAAATAACGCATGGAAAAGCAAGAGTTTGCGAATTCTCGAATTGAATTCGATCTTAACGGCAAAAGTAAATGTCAGCCGACCAAACTGCGCCCCGTTTTTGCCATTTAAAAAGTCGGAAAACGACTGTAAGGCCAGCCATAAACAACCATATCGCAGTTACAACAATAACAACAGAAGCAACAAAGTTCAAACAACATTAAAACGTGAAAAATCTACAAAAAAATGAATATAATATATATACAACATTAGACACAGTAGCAACAATATTGCAGAGCGCAGAAACACACATTCACATTTGCACACATGCATCTGCACACTGGGAAAAATATTTGAATTACATTTAAATAAATTCCCTTTTAAACTGAATCAACTAAAATTAAAAAATACTTTAAAAAATAAATCTAAAGAAGGAAAACTACATTCATTTTTGAAACCCATAAAAATTATATAGCATATGGGATATTTAACTATATAGTTCGGCGAAACTATGTAGTTTAGGATCATAAATTTAATAAATTTATGTAAATTGAAGGGACATTTTTTTCGGTGTGCCAGACACACATACCTACATATCTTGGCAATGTGAAGACGTGCGTACTGAAACTGCAACAGCAACAACTGCTGCAACTGCAACTGCAACAGCAACAACAACAGAAACCGCGCGCCCGAGTAACGTGAAAAACCAGAAAGAGGCACAGTTTTTTTTTGTTTTTCTGTTGGGTTTTGTTTTTATATTTCTCTTTTTTGAGGCAACGAGCATCTCGACTGAAACTTCTGCGGCTGCGCGGTGGCGGCCTTCGTAGTGAAGGGCGTGAAAATAGGGCGCCGAATTTTCGAGGATAGATGGTATTGTTTCCCAACTTCAGTTCAGGAAAATCCACTTAAAGTTAAGGGCAAAAAGGGAACAAGAAAAGTGTTATTTTAATGAAGACATTTTGTTGAGATAAATAAGTTTAAAGCTGTCTTAGTTGGAACATTTGAGATCATATTTTTTGGTAATTTTATAATCCGAGAAATTTAGAAGCCTTAGAACTTGCATCTTTGTCCTTCAATCCAAAGAAGTTAGCTAAGGATTTTCTAAAACTGATAGTTATTAACTTTTAGATCTCAAAATCAAATCTTGAGGACTCTTTTGAAACCCTTCAAATCGCCCAAAAGAACCCTAGGCCGCTCCTGATTTTTCGTAGGCCCAAGCTGAGGGAAGAATCTCGGTGTGAGTTACTATTATGTATAGACCCCCATTGTAGTTGTTTGGGCCCGTTCATCGTGCTGGGAGCTTGGTATGCGCGAATGTTTGCTAACATCCAAATCGTGATCTAATAAAAAACGTAGAAAAACAGAGACACATACCACAGGCCCACGAGCGAGTGAATGAGTGAGCGGACCAGCTTTGGATGGGTTCGGATCGTCTTGGCTCTTAGATTGGAGACTCTTCAAAGGGGCCGTGTGGATGTGGATGCCACCAACTTTCGCAAAAAGTTGACTCAAAAAAGCGGGCTTCTCCCAAGACGGATGGCAGCTGTTAAGGCTGTCAATACGTTGAGTAACTGACCGCAAAAAAAAGTAATGTTTTGCCGGTTCTCCTGGTCTGCCATCCCGTTCCGTTTTCTGGTTCTCCCAGAAAGAAATCGTACAAAATATATGCAGAAACGATCATCGCACCAAAAATAAAAAAATACCTCGAACCCGAAAGAAATGGGCAAAAGCGAACAAATTGGAAATAAAAACATGGAACCAGAGCCACTTTAAACGCCATTTCCGCATAATTCTGAAATGTAGGAACCAGTTTCCAATGGTGGTGGTTGAAATTTAGCAACTTTTTTGAGAAACTACGAACGTGTTAATCAAGCCACTGGCACCGACGTCTTTAGGTTCCACTTTGTTGGCCAAAACACAAAACCATAACAAGCCATGTAGTTACATAGATAGTTACATATACGCTTCCCTGATCGCCAAGCGGAACAATGGAAGATTTTCCCCAGCTTAGCCAGTGAAAAGCTGAAAATGTGAAAATTAATTACAAGTGTGTGGCCAATTGGTCGGTGTTTTTTGGTGGGTCTTGCTAAAAGGTGAGGGAACCCCCATTTCAAAGTCAAAAGCCGCTCCAGACACGGGTAGCTCACCTCTCGCCGGTCGTCTGTGCCTAATGTGAAATTTATGTTTATAAAGTAGAAAGTCATCTGAGGCCCAGGGAGATGGATATGTGGAATGACCAATGTCGGTAATGGAGAGAAAAGAAAGCCAATCTCAGTTTGGAGTGCAGTTTTCGCAACTGCATTTGCAGTGGCATTTCTCACTTAGCCGCTAGCCACGTTTAAGGTATTACCATTACCCAACTGACCTTATTTCGTCGCTCATACGACTTATGTGCAGTCTCAGCCGAAAAGTCCCCGTAATTGCTGAGATTGCAACTCACCCATAGCTGTTAATTTCAGCTTGTTTTTTGAGTGTTTACGGCAGTGCACAGAAAACAAAGCGACTATACGATATGATATGCGGGTCGAGTTGATCTTATATCTTTTTTATAAGCTGATTTTTAGTACTTGCTTCTCTTAATTTGTTTTGAAACAACAAATTCACTTGTATCTCAGAATTGAAATCATGGTCAAAATATATCAAATGATTATAATCAGATGATAATATTATGCAAAATCTTTTAAATTTACAATGTTATTTTTTTTTTTGAGTGTTTACTGCAGTGCACAGAAAACAAAGCGATGAGATGATATGCGGGTCAAATTAATCTTATTTCTTTTCTGATAACCTGACTTTTAAAAAGCTGATTTTGCATTTTCCATATTTAATATTTTTTTTCTTAATTTGATCTTACTATTATAGCCAGGTATTTATACGTCAAAAGAAATCAGATGAAGTAAAAGAGAACTCTAAGCTTAACATATGGATTTAGTTTTCTACTATATAAAGATATCTCCTTTAGATATTTGTTTTATAAATTTTGGGGTAATACTCTATAATAAGTAATCTGAAGTAATATCTCAAGGATTGGAGAGCTCTGATAAAAATACAATGTATGGCTCGGCAATGAAGAACAATATGTGTTCGAGTTCATACTCAAAGTTCAAGTAGCTCTTTAAAGAATGCATTTTCTTGAAAGCTTTGATCTCAATCCCGTTGCTTTTCAATGTTTTGTATATTTCACCCATATTTCTTGCTGTGCAAGTGAAACTCGTCCGAAAAGTTGGAGCACTTTGCCGCCGGCCGGTGAGCGGATGTAACCCAAGTCGGGCGAGACTCCGCTGATTTTGCTGCGTCATACGAACGGTTGGAAGAAGGCTCTACTCCCCAGTGGTCACTTTCTTTTCGGTCACGTTCGAATCCCAAAAACCAGCCATGCAGTTAAGTCTTACACGCCCAACAAAAACACTGAAAGCCAACTGCAAATTACGAATTACACCACAGAAAACTCCAAGCTCCGATCTACACTATAAAAGATAAAGGAAGTTATTAGACGTCTGCGGTTTGTCTGTCTGGTCGAGTGCAATTTTCCCGAGACTCGCTTTTCAGGCTCCATGTCCGTGAGTCATGGACAAGATTTTCCATCGATTCGATTTGTTTAAGCCGAGTTATCACGTGCCGGCTGGAAAGTTTTCTTTATGTTACTGGGCTGGGCTCGTTGTTCGATGTTGTTTGTTTGTTCTTCAGGCCCGACTCTCTCTTTTGTTGTTAGCATTGTTGTGTTAATCGATTCCACTTTTGCCTTGAACCGGAGTCCAACTTCCAGCTCCCATAATTGAGTCTTATTCGCTTTGTTTGCCATACCTTTAATTCACCCTAATGAACCAACTTGACCAAATTCCATTTGTTGTACTTCTCACGGGCAGAGAGACTCGCTTTTGTGTTACAGTTTCCTCGGTTTCAACATAAAAATAAATATGATAAATTAATGCTGGGAAATCTCGATGGTTGGCAGACAAAAAGCTAATGAAAATGCATTTTATGGGCATATTTCAACCGAAAGACATTTCAATAAAATTTGATCGAATCGCAAACAAGTTTATTGATCGCCAGCCAGTTTGAGCCATGAATCATGGCTAAAATTAGGCAGTCAAGACACACACGAATTTCGCATAATGGCTCTCTCCCTTTGACATAGAATTAGTGGCAGATATGAGGCAATAGGCGAAAGAGTCGTTAGTTTTTTGGCCAAATAATTGCCGATTTACATAAGCAAAACCAAAAATGTAGCCCCCAGCTATTTCACTCTTTCATTTTTCGCGATTATCATTCGCATTCGAATGTGTTTTGATTGAAGTGAAGGGGAAAACCTCATAAAAAATCTTGTTTAATGATTTGAAAATGTTTTCGAGTGGACACGACACATGCAGATTGATGGAAAGTTATTATTTGCCAGGTTTTTGGCCGCCTCTTGCATCAGAGTTCCCTGACTCGAAAACATTACTCTTCCGCGAGGTCATCAAACCAAAAGCTGGCCATTTTAATCAGCTTAATAAATAAGAAAAGAAGTGGCCACAAAAATCGGTTTATGACCAACAGAAACGCTATTGTTGAAGCTGCCCTGGTTGCTTTGGTTCCATCCTCCAATTATTACCCACGAAATGTTGGTCGCCAAACACTTAACCACGCTCGATTCCATTCCATCCATTCACAGGCAAACAAAGCAGCATTCCCCACTCTCTAAACTCCAAGATCTGAAAAATGGGAACGAAGATCGAGTACGTGGACACCACGCATCTGTACGCCTCCAAGTACATCCGCAACTCCAAGGCGATCGGCGTTTTGTGGGCCATCTTCACCATCTGCTATGCCATCATCGGCATCGTGGCATTCGTGACGCCAGGTGGGTTTACTAACTGGCTTTATTTATTGTAAATAGTCCCCTAACTGATCTGTATTTCCCTACTATTTTAGAGTGGATTGGTGATCCGGATAACGATGGAGCAGGTCGACTGGGCCTTTGGCAGCAGTGCCAGCGGGACGAGATCTTCGACAACTGCCGAAGACGGTGGGAGAGCATCTTCGAAGTGCCCACATTCTCCTTTCAGGTAAATTAGCAAGGAGTTATGTTACATTAAAATATTAATTATTAGTACATTTAAAATTATGGAAAGTCCAAAGATCACCTTAATAATTATACATTTTAATATGGAAATATTACATTTACCAGTTATAGTTAGTTATTTTTTTCTACTAAACATGCTTATTCCACAAGTACTCTTTTGACCATTTTGAATTTTTATTTACCCATTTTCAGCTGGCCACATTCTTCATGCTGGGCGCCATAGCTCTGGCCTTGTTGACCATTTTCTTCTTGGTTTGTTTGCTGTTTATGAAGTCAACGCGTGTTTTCCACCTTTGCGGTTGGATGCAAATTATATCAGGTATGTGGTGTGACCTATCTCCTACTATATCTCTCTGCCTCCAATAGTTAAGCATATTGAAAACATCACGTTCTTGTGTATACACATTGTTTTCATGTATTCTTTTGTTAATAAGTAGCTTTTTTTTATTTCAGCTCTTTGTATGATTGTGGCCTGTGCGGCGTTTCCCTTTGGCTGGAATTCGGATGACTTCCGTAAGATCTGTGGCCCGGAAGCCAATCGCTTTGAGCTGGGCTTGTGCGGCATTCGGTGGGCTTATCCACTGGCCATTATCGGCTGCATAGATGGTGTGGTCTTGGCCACCTTGGCCTTTATCTTGGCCACGAGGCACGTGCGCCTGCAGCCAGATCCAATATATCAGAATTCGCTCTACAAAGGTGGGTTCTCATGCGATACCATTTTTCCCATTAAAAGATAATCTAATTCTGGTTTATTTTCCTCAGGTGAAATCAACAATGCATATCTCACAGATGCCATTAGTTTGGCGGGTTCGAGGAAATCGAATCCGCGGATTACTGGCTTGAATTTGCAGCCCATTCTGCTGGTGGCTCCTCCAAATGAGGATAGTATATCGCAATTCTCTCGTTATCATTGAGTTTCCTCATTCAAACAGCCAAGACCACAACCAATCAAGCTTAGTTCGTGCAAAAACCAGGGTTGAAACTCGGCTTGAAGTTTTTCCTAAAGTTTTGGAGTTTCAGATTTAACTGATTTTCACCGCGGACTTAAGCTGGAATTAAGAAAAATATGTGTATTTGTGTGTGCAAGTCAAGGAGTGAATGATTTTGTATATGCCACTTTGCCCGACTGAATGCCAACTTGTAGTTGTAAGCTTGGATTTTAAAGTTTAATTTAACATTTCGTGTGAATAGCTTGTGCCTAAATGTATGCTTCGTTTAAGTTAAAAAATAAAAAGAGCGTCTCTAAAGCTCTGCCTGTAAATTATATACCCGTAAACAATAAACATGTACAAATATTAAACGTAAAATCAATGTTTATTTCGACCACAAATAGCCGGCTGAATTATGCCATCATCATCATCATCAAGGTCAGCAGAATTTTGGACTAGGCAAAAACAAATTATGACCACCCCACACACATAAAAACCCATAACGGACAACTTAGCGCCCAATTTGTTTGTCCTTAATCTGGATTTGGTTCTGCTCCCATGCCTTTTTCAATAACCATTTGGCACATACTTTTCCAATAAAGTATTTCGGGGGAGTTGGGAGCTTCTTCCCCCACGAATCGGTGGGCGGCAATTGAAATATCCCGGCCAAAAAGATCCCTGGCAAGTGCAAGTGGCTCTCCTTCGGGCACGTTTTAATATTCTTGTATAATTCATAAGCAATTCCATCACGGGCCTAAGTGGCCAACCAGCTGACGCCGAGCAAATCGCTCCAGATTCGACAGGGAAACCACCCTGAGATGGGATTTCACTTGACTTCTTTGGATACTCTTTAAGTGTATTTTGAGGTGGAATTCGTTCTATATAAAAATTAACTTTGATTATATCCCAATTTTTAAATAACACTTAATATGATAAATCTTGAATATCAATTCTTATATCTATAGCTACAGTTTCCTAAAATTTAATTTCATTATATTTTATACTTTGAAATTTGTAGAGATTTGAAATCAACCCAGCATAAAATGTTCAAAATGTGATCAAAATTTTGATAGTCTGCTTTTAAGCATTTTTCCAGAGCATCCAAAACTTCGACTTCCTCTTAGCTGCCCAACTTTGATTGTTTTTATTTACTTGAGCCATTTCTTTTGCCATCTTTTTGCCGCCTGCAACATATGGCCAGCATTTTTGCAATTGTACTCACGCATTTTCCAGCCCAGCCAACCCCAAAAGGAAACCCACCCCAGGAACCAAAAGGCAATGAAGATCTCGGGTATTTCGCTGTGGATTTTGATGTGCCAATTGTTTTTATTCGATTTTATGGTGCGCCATAAACGAATTTTTAACTTTTGTTGTCCTTGAGGTTTGGCGGCCATTTCATTGGAAATATTGGAGGACTTGGGGCGGGGAATCTCTATAAGGGTGGATATGTGTGGCTTACATTTATGGCGCTTTTGGCAGCATATGTTGCCGGCGAATATTAGTTTATCACTCGCCATTTTATGGATTTCCAAGTGGCTGAGGCAAATTAGAGGAGCATAACAACTTTTTCATGGTCTATTCGTGGATATTGGGTATTGTGCCATATATCTGGCCACGCCTTTGCCACAGCATTTCGTTACAATCCTCCCAGGGCAAAAATCTGAGGAACACAAAAACCCCCTTTCCATTCACAAAAGCGGGGCGAAATGAATTGCGCCTTTAAGGTTTTCGTTTAAGTGAAATGTCAGCAGCAGAAATTGAATCGAAAATTGTAAAATTGGTTTTGTATAAACATTTTTGCCAAATGAAATGAAAACGCTTTTCTTACGACTTGTGCCGCTTGCCTCCTGCCTGCCATGAAATTTCATTCTTTTGATTCGTTTTCCGCTTTTCCTTTTTTCCGTTTTCATCGGGATTTCAGTGCAAACATTGCAAAACATCATATTTCTTGTGCCTGTTTTTTATTTCCGAAACAAAAGCCCAGCCAAGTGGTCTAAACTAGCCACCCCCTCCGCCCCCTTTTTCTCTAGAACTTGTGTATAATTTATTGCTCATACGACCCGTGTGCGTGTGGGTATTTTTTCTAGGGGAAAATGCGGAAAATGCTTGACTGTGTGTGGAATTGTGGAAACGTCAAAAGTGCGTCAATCAACAAAAACTTCAAGGGAACGAAAAGCCAGTTCCCTTGTTTATTTTCTAGTGCATTTTTCCAGAGTCCTGAGTTTTTTATTTACTTTGATTTATAAGAGTCAGGAATTGTTCTCGGAACTGCCAAAGCTCGGAGATGGAGAATCTGCTGTTAACAAGCAGATTTATGCTTACAGCTTGGATTTATGGGGTCTGAAGATATTTTAAGGAACTGAGAGAGCTCAAGTGAACGGGGAAGTTTAACTTTACAATTTAAAAAATCCTAAAATAATCCCCCACTAGAGTCAGTAAAATAGTTAAAGCCTTTCTTAAAATTTTCAAAGTTCTAATTTATATTACAAAATTTCGTACATCCTCAGCCTAAACATTATTTAACAAATACATAAAATATAGTTTATGCCTACGACTTACTAAGAGTTACGGCTAACGAAACTAGAAATGAGTGCTTGCATGTTTCACATTGTAATCATTGACTAGTGAATTATTTGTAGCATTCCTGTGACAAAAATGTATACAAATTCATACGTCTATCTACAAGATTCAAGTTACTAGCAAACCCGTTTTGGCGTTGGTAGCAGCAAGATGATTGATAATGATTGATTGCCTTCGATGTGGAAACTGAGTAATGATAATGCTTATGCAGTGGCAAGAACGTCAGGTATATGCCACGATTTTGGCCAGAACGAAACTAAAATTAAATATTCTCAGGCACACACACACACAAATTGTCACAGATTCATACCTTAAGGATCTAGGGTTCTATTTCTATATCTGCAACTATGAGTCCTGACTCATTCCCGCACTGAGGCTGCCATCGATAATGGGTTGCGAGTCCTCCTCCCGATTTCCCTCGCCCAAACAGGTGGCCATGGGTCCATGTCTCAGCAGGGAGTAGCTGTCCCGATGATGGACGAGTAACCTGTGCTGCTGATGGGCTATGAAGTCGCTGCCCCTTCTCAAGGACCTCCTGCCCATCTCGAGGATCTCCAGCGTGGGATCATGAGCGAAAACCACGTTCTGATAGGCTCGCACAAAGCTGAAGATAATGGCAAAGGCTCCGCCCATGATCATCAGGTAGGATCCTATGGGCACGGCGCTAGGGGCTATAACAGTGCCCAAATAAATCCAACGCTTGATGGCGGGTGTTAGCTCAGAGATGCCCTAAAATGTACGGCTATTAGTAGATTTTCTAGGTGTGTTCTGGATCTCGATAGCTCACCTCTTCCAGCCACATGACCGGAAAGACAAAGTCTCGAAAATCACGCACTGGATAGACGTCCTTGGCACGCGTCACCTTTAGATTCAGCTGAATCCGCACTTTACCCTCCAGTGGTACTCCAAGTTTCTAGAGAGAGTCGAAAATAAATTAGAATTACAGTGCGGAAAAACACAAGATAATTAAGCTCTTGACATCAGAATGTGACATGAAAGCAACACACATAAGAGAATAAATCAACTGAAAGAATCTAAGTTTATCTTTTTAAATGAATATAATACGATTTGGAGATCCAACTCTTTATATTCTTTAAGTCAAATCCTAAGTAATGTAATCAAGATGACTTTTGGTTTCTACAATTCTTTTTTATTACAAGAAATGGGATCCCTAAACTCACCGGTTGTATTTTGAAGTACGTTTCATGCTTCTCACGTTCTGGCTTTAGGCCCTCCACAGAATTGAGAAGATCTGGGTGGGATTCAAAGAAATGCGGATTGGATATGTAAACGGGGGCGCCATATTGACAAGGACTGATGTTCTGGAGACCCTGTATTGGCTCATAATCGCTTGAGTCGTAGCACTTGTTCTCGGGATTGTGGGCGGAGTCTCCATAGGAATTATTGGGCAACCTGAACAGATCCGCCGATATGCCATCCTTTTCTAGGCTCTCCACATACTTCAGTGGGATAATCCGGCAGAGATCCTTGTCATAGATGTGAACCATCTCCGATTTGGTAAGTTCCCGCGGCGGAAAGAAGGATCCCTCTGATCCCGCTATACTGGTGCATGGTGGCTCACTCCAGTGAGGCAGATGATCCATTCCATTCAGCTGGTCTATGTAGCCAAACTGGTCCATGCTATCCATGCCCGTCTTGACGGAGGACACCTCCGTGAGGGTGCCATTGCGACCCAGGAGCAAACCCATCCTCTCCATGGGCCTCATGTGCTTCGGATAGAACCTGTGGGCCAGACTCACCAGGGCATCGTCGTAGCCAAAGGCCAGCTGCTCGGCAGTGACATTGATAAAGGGTTTGAATTGAGCAGCCGTTACCACCACGGATATGGTTTTTGACAGGAGATATCCCAGCTTCGGGCTGAGGCTGGTGAGGGTCTATTGGAGAGGGAAGTTTTTAGAATACTTAGTTTTACTGAGGTATACATTATTTTTATTAAAATATACCTGGCCAAATTTTAGACTTATAATTTTTTCTTTTTATAACTAATTTGACAATTAAATTATTACTTAAAATCCTTACCAGCAGCGGGATATTGGGTGTGGTGATGGGCGTGTCCTTATCAATACTCAGTTCAGGAACAAATTGCAGTATCTTCTTATGCTGATATGACACGGTATAGTTATTCTCGTGAAACTTGACATTCACCTTCTGCATGTCTTCCCTGTAAAAAGCGGAGAAAGAGGGAAATAATATCTTATCATTAATCGGCACGTGCTGCGGACTCGGTTTCGTGGTCCAAAGTCAGGGGCGTCCAACACAAAAGCAATTGAATGTCAAGTTCAGTTTCGAGCCAGAGAAAACAGAAATAACAAAACAAGTTGAAGCCAACATAAAAAGTAACAGCGGATGACGGGCACATTGGGCCTCGATTTGTCATCATGGTAACATTTTTAACATCTCATCACTATCCGAGATTCCTCGTACACTCGTAAGTAATCTCTAGCTTTATGATTGATTACTTTGAACCGAACCCTCGCAGGTTATCCTTCGTTTAAACGGGTTCACCGTAGTCTAAATATAAAAGCCTATTATTAAGCATTGCATTACGTTTGCACGAGCTCTAGATGTTGTAATCTCGATCGACGGAAACTCGCCTTCAAGAGCTGTGAGCTCACGGTTTAATTGGCCAACTAATTGCACGGCGGCTCACGGCTGTTGGCCAGTTTGATTGGGTGTTAAAATCAGAAGAGATAATTTAATTGTTTGCTTCGTGTAATCTGATTGTGATAAGTGATTAGTGAGAAAATATTAGGAGACTATTAGTTATATATATCCAAGTAAAGGTATGTTGCTACTGTTAAAATTTAAACTAAACCATGCTAAATGACAGAGTAGTACTTTTTCATAGTCTAAAACATTCGCTGAACTGCAATTATCATCCAGTTACCTAAGATTTTCTACTTCACAGAAAATAAATCAGATATCGCTTCCTAAGCCTCTAATTATCCCTTCTAGGAGTTCAATAAGTTAAGCATTGACCGTTTCCGTAGCTAATATTTTGAAGCCACTTGAATTGCTTTTAGCCACTTGCGGTTCTAATTACAGGTATTAAGCCACCAACTTCCCAGCAAACCATGACCAATTGGAGTGCTGTGCCAAAGCCACCGTGCAAATTTATCTATGCACACGTTTATGCATAAAGGTTTTCCACAACCCGAGGTGTGAAAAAAGGCGAAACGAATTTTTCAATTGCCCAGATTTATGGCCAAAAAAGAAACACTTCAACTCTTTAGCTTACCTGTAGACAAAAGGACCAACTTCCTGCAAATGGGGCTTTTCACCCCGAAGAAAGCCATCTGGATTGGTCACATTGTAGATGTATAGCTTGGTCAGTCGGATGACGCCAGGCCTTTGCCAATAATGATAGCTCAATGTATCATTCCACAGCCTTAAGTTCTGAGGGAAAATTTGTTATAATATTCACTTTACTCTCATTAAAGACAAAAAACCCACCTTTAGTATAAAATAATCCAGCCAGGGCATGGATGATAAAATTATGCCTAAGGTTAAAGTAATTATTCCAATAATTATCACAGCTAGTCTATCTGCAAAATAAAGAAATAGTAACCAAATCAATATTTAAATTTAGTAATTGTTTAACAAATAAGTATTTGATTATGAGTAAGATATTAGAAAGCAAAGCAAAATGTTGAAATTGTACAACACCAATTTGTTGCCTGAATTATTTCGAAAATTACCCCTTGAAAGGCAGCTTTTCATGTTCCTTTTTAATGCCAGTTTTTTTAGTGCAATTTCGTAAGGTAAATAAAATAAAATTATTTGCGAATTTCACGGTGCAACTTCACGGATGTCACACACAATTACAATGGTCAACACTTCGGTTTGCCATCTCGTGGGCATTCAATCGCGATCTTGGCCGACTTATCGCCGAATGGACGTATATACTCATCCATATGACAGCTGCCAAAATTTACGACCCTCTGTTATCACTAATTGAAACTTAATCGCGGGCGATGCAATGTTAATTGGCCCATGCACTTAGCCTCTGGAAATCTGGACATTGGACGTCCGCAACATCAAAATCAAAATCATCATCCACATCACCTTGCTGGCATTTTGAGGCGGTGGGCGTGGCCAGCAGCATCTCGGTTGACGAATCCCAATCCGCTGATGATTATGATTACGATGACGATGATGATGATGATGGGCGTACAATGCCAACGGGTTCTGAATATTTTTTCACGGGTTTTCGGTGCACTAGTGGCGATCAGTCAACGAACTGATCGCCACGCCGCTTCGATCAAGAAAAACTGTTTTCGCTATCAAGTTTCGCCGAAATGCCGCCCCGAAAAAGTGCAAGGTGAAGCGTTTTGAAACAACATAAATTTCAATTTTATTTATTATTTATTATCTTATAAAATGCAGTACGGCGCTGCTTCGATTTTTGCAGGTCACTAAGTCAAAAGCTGCGATGTCAGCGATAAGGTCGAAAAAAAAGTAAAGTGGGAAGCAAACAGGAAAGGAAATGAACTGGGAAATGCGAATCTTGAAATGCTCTATACTGAATGTACTGTCTGTCATTATCTATAGGTACCAGAGTTCAATAAAAATTAAAAAATATTCAACTGGTTTTATGTGATACTTACATTTATCAAGTAGTATTTTGTAATAAAATTATGTAAAGGTTACAGAAAATTAGTTTACATTTTAAGAATAAATTTTAACGTTTGAATTTATTCTACAGATACTTGAAACATCTGATATATTTTTATATATCAATAAATTTGACAATTCAAATAAAAATCTTTTGATTTATTTAATACCTAACTAAAACCAAAAACCCACTGTAAGGGTAAAATAAAAATACACAGTGAGCGCCATAAATCAGCTTGGAAATCATTAAACACATATTGAAACTGGGCGCGATAACTGCTGTCAAAATACAGCCGGATCATATGAGTATGTGCATTGTATCATTTTTTGCCTGGCAAAGTTCAGGCGGCTTCTTCATCGTGTTCCACTGACCCTGAAGAGACCGGCGACCATAAACTCTGTCCCAGAGAAAGTTACGCAAAAAAAGGAGAGAGAAAAAAAAACGAAGAAAACAGTCGAAAAAGCGACAAGTGTCATAAAACGAGGCACATAACATTTTTGGGAGCCCAAGGTCAAGGGAAGTCAGCGCCTCAACGGAAGGCTTTATTCGGTTGTTCAGTTTTCCTAGGCTATAATGTTACTGCAATCGAACGGCGATTGCAAATCGGGTTTCAGAGCGAGATGGGGAGATGCAGTACATATAGCCATATAGCCGTAGCGATATGGTCACTAAACATTTGGCACACAATTGATACGTCAGCAACCGATGACTGACGACTGTTGACAATTATGCTGATCCCAGAGTAAAATACTTACTTACTTTGATATTGCTGTTTTGCGCTATGTTTTTCGATGGGGTTTTTTGTATTTTCGTTTACTTGTTTATACGGGCTCTTAAGATTTCAGTTGCAACAAAAGCAGAAGCGGTGTAAAGGGGACAATACATTATACTAAAGTAGTGCTTTAAAAATTTGAAAAAATGGCTTAACATTTTTTAGAAGAAAAACCACGTATAATTGTGTAAAAATAAAGTGATATTTAATGTAATGAGAGAAATATTCTAATTTCATTATATATATTTAAGAATGTTATTTTAAAATAAAGAACCCATCCCCTTTCGTAAGCCCCTGCTTCGATTGCATTTGGCCGCTGGTGTCATATGCTTGTTTCCTTTGAAAATTACAGCGGAGCACGCGATATTCATATTTCCGAGCTTCTAGACTCGACAGCTATCCAAAAACCACGCACAGAGATTAACAAAAAAAAGAGTTAAGACCCCATCACCGAGAAGCAATTGCCAGATACTTTGAAACTGTTTAAATGAAACAATTTAAATGGTCAGTAATATTAGCTGCGAGGGTTTAAGTGAAACATTTGTTGGCTGGGAGGTCTATCCAACCTGGTTTCTTGTATTTTGTTTTTGGTTTGCTGTTTCTGTTGAAGCTTGGCACCACAAACAAAAACGAAAAAGAATAATCGTAAGTTTCCCAATTGCCTGTTAAAATTAACGCTCACAATTACCGGCCGTAAAGCTGCAGCTGCTTCGCAGCTCTTGGCCAACAAAAAAGCGGCGTCTAAAAGGCAACAAAGCGTGCTGGTCATATACCATTTCAATAGACAGTTTCTAGTGCCCGGCAGACAATACTGTACCGTGTTCCGTATACTATATCCATTAACAATAGAGCTCAGCAGTTGCAGTTGTCCGAGACAATCGAGCCGAGATTTCGCCCAAGAACGTGCCGCTGTAATAATAATAATCCAAGACCTGATCCGGCTGCCCCTCCCCCAAAAGTCTTTATAGCCATGTAAACACTTTTGTTTAAGCAAATAATAATGGCAGTTCCTGGCGGTCCCAGATCACTTCCTCGTACGCCTTACAATTTGCATCACGTGACGGTGTCTTCTCCGCAAATCTTCGTATCTGGAATACCACATATACTTTATTTGCGATCCCTTAGTGGTTCAGCCCAATTAGCCGAAACAAAGGGCACTGGCTATGGGCATGTCCCACGAAAGCGAAACCAGTTTCTTGCCACCGAGACGTGCCTTCCCGGCAGTTTTGCATTTAAGTTATCGCATTTCGGCCCTTAATTAAAGCGTTTACAACTGATTCTCGCTCGGGATAAGGACCCGAAAGAAGGGTATGTGTATAAAGAGAAGCGCCGGCTGAAGGTTAGGAACTGGATCTGGAAAGTTTGCCCCGAGATGAAAGGGAAAAATTGCGAAGGCTCGTAACGGAAATCCTGGGGAGAAACCCATAATGGAAAGTGAGCTGGGATCTTTACTCGGTTGAGTCAGCCCAGATCGAAAGGAATGTAAATTATGACCCTATTTAGATTTATTCGGCGAGATTGGAATATTTTTTGTAAATTCCCTTTAATAGCTTGTAATGGGATGTTGTGATACCATTAATTTATTGTACTTCGTGTGGTGAGTTCTGTTGGTCTATAAATATGTCTCCTTCTTACATATTTGGAATTTATATATTTGTTGTTAAATATCATATCATATATCTTAAGAGTTCATAAGACAATAAATATTTTAGAATCAAATCTTTAGAGCTTATCAAAACATATTTACAAAATTTAAAGATCTAATATTCTAGTTAAATATTTTAACGTTTCCCAAAACGTAATATTTATTTTGGCTTCTGGTTTGCTGAATTCTGTGTCAATAGCTTGAAAATTCCTCTGCAGAGTAACCAAAGCTGCGGCACGATCTTGGCCAGGTCTTAATGCCAGCATCTGGTTATATAATCGCAAAGCACACTGGCAGACGTGAGTTGTTTTTGTGTTGCCAAAGAGTCCGCTGCTGTCGGGAACTCTTCTTCTTTGGCTGAGCCGAGCTGAGCCACTTCAGCCACTGCATCAACAGCAAACGCGCTTGTTTCTGTTTGAGCCGGGCAAACAAATGGCCAAAACCTCTCCGCACCCCGCCCCTAGAGAGCCTGCTTTAGACATAGAATTGGTCAAAAGCAACCTGCATGTGTTAATTCATGTTCACTCTCTCGATTCGCCATGGGCATCCATGGCGGCTACTTGATTTCGCACTCCACTCACTGTCGCTATCACTGGCCCCTTGAATTCATCGAATCCACTGAATCCACTCGGAACCCACTCGTTCACTCTTTTTCGGCACTCATTCACCGTTTTGCAGCCTCAGTTGCACAGTGAAAAAATACGTGGGTGGCTTTAGAAATTTATTTATTGCTAAATCCATAGGAATTATAGAAACGACTACAAAATAGAGTGATTTTTTAAGTAGTTCCTAAAAAAGGATACATATACAGAAAATATGTTTCATATTTGTTTCGGTTCCAAAATGATGATCATGATATGGACAACGTCATACTTTCAACTAATTATATATACATAAAATACTCGTAAGCAAAAAAAATATTTAAGATGTATTTATATCTAATATTTCATTGTCTTTTATACTGACTGCCACGGCCAAACTTCCAAATATTATATTCTTCCCTTTTAATTGTAATACCATGTTAAATTATTTACTGTGTGGCCATTTCGACCCCCATCTCCCCGCCTTAACTCTTGTCTATTGATTTGGCAACATTTTCATATTTGCTTTGAATGAGCTCGTGGCTATTTGCTGGTATTGGTCTTCGCAAGTCCGAGTATTTGGCAGTTAATAGTGGCTAGTGTTGCTGGCCACAGAGTTTTCAATTGCGAATTTTGTGTTTTTAATGCTGCTTGTTGTTTGCCTGCTGCTGTTTGTTATGTGCAGGCCCGAACATTGCAATAGAATTGCCCAAGCACAGTGGTTAAAAATCAGCTGTGGCTTCCTCAATAAAAGAAGTTACTTAAATGCCTGAAAGATCAACTCAAAATACTGCCAGCATGTGTGGCAATTAAAACTTGACTCTTTTGGCCTTAAATCTCAAGCATAAATCTGAGATAAGTCCCTCTCCAATGATCACGTCCCACAGAAGTACCCATAATTGCCCCTGGCCACAAACAGCATCCCCTAGAAGTCCAATAGCAAGGCACTTGGCCAACATGGCAATAAAGCCAGGCCAATAGTCAAGTGCAAAGCGCTTAAAGTATAATTCTATATAAGCGACAATCGAAACAGTCGAAAATGCCTCGAAAACGAAGTGAAACCGAAACCAGAAAATACAAAAAACACATAAAAAATAGAGAAAACCGAAACGTAAACAAACGGAGCCTGGGCGCAGTCTAAGCCAAGTTCAGTTAGCTGTCCGTCCCTCTCTGGCGAATGTTCTTGGCCATGGCTGCTGGTTGCATTAGTATTTGCCAGCTTTTGCTGCCTGTTTGCACACTTGGCTGCCTTCGACTAACTTGGCTTGGCTCACTCGGCGTATACGCAATGTCGGCCATTGCAAAGAACGCCACAGTCGCCGTTTCGATGCGAATTCGAGTTCGTGTCTGTGTGTTTCCTTGATTTACATCTGCGCTTAGTTGGCTGCTTAGCTTGGCTGTTTTCAACTTTAAATTGTTTTCTATTTTTTTCTTGTATTTTCGGCTGTTTTTTGTTTTTGCCGCTTGGTTTTTCCTTTCGACCAAAATACACGTTTTTCAATTTTTCGGCTGCAGTTCTTGGATGACCAGTTTGGTATACAACATTTTGCGGTATTTTTTAAGCTGTCAATCGACTGTTAGTAGGGGTATTGGGCATTGCTTTCAGCCAACTTAACAAGCCTCTGACCAATTTGGCAGTTGATATTGACTTTTAGTTGGCTAATTGAGCATTTAAGCACATTTTTCCTAAATTCAATTTTCTTGTTGATTGTCAAAGGCGATAGGAACTTGAGGAGCTGTCAGTCAAGGCATTTCCTTTTATGGGAAAGTTAGCCAAAAATGTATTGTTACTAATTTCAATATTAACTTAATGGCAATAGAAGTTCCGAAAAATTTTTTTAAATTTAAAAATATAATTTTCAATTATTATAATTATTACTATAATCCAAAGACGTTATACCATATGCTAAAATAGATTTATTAATTTACTAATAGCTTTAGCTTTCATATCCGTCTAGTTAACACAACATCATGTTCCGTTCATTAGATATAGAACAGAAATATTCCACTCGAGTGACTGGCACATTTTGCGGTATAATTAAGTTGGCTGTACTTACTATTGCTAATCCTAACTCCATTTGATATCAGCATGGAGAGTGGGGTTCCCCTGTGTGTCACATGGGGGCGTGACCTCCGCCCCTGTGTTGGCTGTGCTTGTTGTTGCTGCTGGGGATGTTGCTGCTGCGATTGCTGTTGCTGTTGCTGCTGTAGATGTTGCTGCTGCTGCTGCCGTCGACCACGCCCACAGGTGGCCCAGTCAAGGAGGTGATCTCTAGCGGTCCGTCCATAACGCAGGTAATGTTTTTCCAAGCCCATAATTCAAGTCTATCGGGGATAGTGGCAATAAAAGCGGTTGAGGTGGATTAGTTCAACGTTAAATAGGGGACAACAACATATTTATGGAAAGCAATTAAAAATGTAATTAGCCTGCTGCCGTTTCGGTCAAGTACTTCCTGGGGTGGAGATGCTGGAGAATTTATAGAATCTCGCACACAGCCTTGGCATACTGCTCCTCCGAAAAGATTTGGCTGCGATTAGCTGCATTTTTCAAGCGGACCTACTCAAAACCGCAATGAATCGTGCCATAAATTCAGTTTCAACAGTTTAATAATATATGTTTTTATTAGCCCGGTGACTGATAAATGCTCCATGCCGTAAATACATTTGTCACTCGGTACGTGAGTGCCGGGGAACCCTCTCCGCTGGCAGGTCGTTACCTTAAGCCACAGACAATATGCTAATTGGCCACCAACCACCGGCTACCGGCCACCGACACAGTTTCATTAGCTTACTAATTGAATGCAGAAAATAAAATGGAATTTATCAGGGGGATCCAGGAAAATCGTGAGCATCTCTGTGTCTTAATCGGGCAAAGCGGAATCAAACTTAAGCCAATGCATGTGAACAAATCAATTAAAATCATATCATTTTTAATTTAATTGTTGGGTACATAGTTTCCCAAAATTTTCCATAAATCCATTTGATAAACTGCTTCATGCTGGATTGTTTATTATGTGTCTAGATTTTATGTGTCTTGTAATTATTTTTCATTAGAATAATGCTAATAAGTTCCAACAAATAAAATAGTAAAATGGAAATTATGGAAGAAGTCTGGAAAACTTAGACCAGAATTGAACTTGTGTCAATAATCAAGCTTCATTTTTATAGCGCAAAAGCGGAAAACAGAAAATTTCCATGCAAAGTACAGAAACCGAAACAAATGACTGAGGCAACGAACTTTGCATTTCTGGACTTATGCTTGGAGTGGACTCTCTACTCTCAACTCTATTTTTTGTCGCTCCGAGTGTGAGCTCATAACCCATTTGGTCATTTACCAAGATTTTAGTTTAAGCCGCATCTCAAGTGAGGCCAAATTATATTTAATTGACTTCTGACATAACTGAAATGTTAGTTAAACTGCTGTCACAATTGAGCGATTTTGGTTTACGAACAAAGTTGTGTAAAGTTGTATACAAAACAGAAAAAAATATAAAAAAACAAAAATATTTAAACCCAATTAATGACATTTATATTTTTCACTTTGTTTTGCTTCTTTTTTGCGTATCTCTTTTAATTGCAGCCGGATTGTAAACAGCTTTGGGCCAAGAGACGCTGCCTTAATTTGTGGCATTTTGCCAGGGCAAATACGGTGCTGTACGCTTAATGAGCATAAAATAATTAAGGCCGCATTTAATTTGCCAGCTTCCCAAGGGCATTTCCAAAGGGAAAGGATGCGGAAACAAAACTGCAGGTTCTGGTTCTGGATAACGACTTCATTCGAGGTTCAGCATTTATCATTCGGCAGTCGGAAGTGGCTATTATTTATCATCTTGCACTGCGACACTCCTCCAGCGCCATTAACCCCTTGTTGCACACTCTTTGGCCACAATTCACGCCTCAACAGCCCGAGCCAATCCATTAAGAAGTCCCCCAGAAAATAAAGTGGTAAAAATCGAGGAGTGAAAAAACACGTTTTTTTAAGTTTTTATCTTATTGTGCTTATTGGCCACGGCGTGGTCACCTGGCTTCTTTGGCATAAACACCATTATGTAATCCGAAAATGAGACGCCGAGACTCTGGACTGGATTGGCTTGGTTAGAAAATCATTAAAAAATAGCACAAACATTTGCGTAAAGAAATTTCAAAATGCCAAATGCGAAATTTGATTGACCTAAATACGGTTTTATAATAGCCATATATCCCCCGTCCAGACCAGAGGTGTATATATGGCAACTGGCCGCAAGTGTTGCAACTGCCACATGCCACTGGAGCACCATGTCCAGCGAAGCTTTCTAACAGCTGACCACGACGATACCCAACCCGATTCCTCGGCTATATATCTATGTATCTATAGCCTCAGTCTCTCAGCCTCACTTTCGATTGCAGTTGTAGCTGCAGTCGCAAAGCAGCAAAAGCAGTGGCAGAAGTAGGTTGCCTGGCCAGCAGGCCACTAAACCACACTCAGCCACTCCGTCTAAAGCGTTCGTTGGCATTTGCCGAAAATCTACCTTCCCGCTTGCACCTGCTGCATGTTGCCGCCGTTCATGTTGCTGCTGTCCATGTTGCTGTTGTAGATGTTGCTGCTGTTGATGTTGCTCGCGTGCATTTCTAAGTGTGAGTCAAGAGTTGCGCCTTCTTTGGCGCCTGGCTGAGGGTATTGTGATAAACTCACTGGGAGGATATCCATTTGGGAAAACCCAAATTTAGCTGCAGGTTTGTGAACTCTAAATGGGTAACGAAATTAAGCAAACATTGGCATTTGGCGCGCAGATTCTGGCATAACCAGTTGACAAAGTGTTTGAATGTATGGTTTGGTTTTTCCTTATCAAGAGGAATATTTTAATTAGTTATATTGTAATCGTATTTACATTGGCTGATTTATTTTAAAAAGATTTATACATATTTAATAACATTTTTTAGCATTCACTTTCCAGTGAGCCTTGCTAGGTTATACATCTTTGTCTTGTACAAAATCCCCACAAAAAAGTGTAGAGCATTTAATAGTTCTTAGTTTTATTTCTAGGAATATAATTTAAAATTTGATTTTCAGAGATGTATTTCTAGGAAGAGTATTTCATAATGTCTAAGGCTTTTTCCAGTATTTTCCTAGTCCTACATCTGCAGCTCTGTTTGCCTCCCTCACATATTACCACATATTTTCCCCCTAAGTGCCGTCGAGTGTATCTCAAGTTCGCTGCTTTCCTTGACTCGTTCGGCGATGTGATGTTGCCTCTTGCCAAACAGTAGCCACCAGCTGGAGTGGCTGTTTCTGTCTGCCCCTCCGCCTGGCTGTCTCTTGAGTCTCCGATGTCGCTGGTTGCACTTGTTTGTTTTGGTTTCTTGGCAGTGCAGTCGCTGCCGAATTAATAATTTCACACAGCCTCAGTTTCAGGTTGCAGCGGAGTTTTTGCTCAGTAGTGCGAAGGTCGCGCGCCACTTTTCTCTTTCCCGCATTCACAGCTTACCATCCTCAGCTGCACTCAAATCCAGTTTTTTTCTTTGGCTGGAGTGCGATATTTCGGCCTGTTTTATGCATTTTTAATAAATTTCTGCTTAATTTTTGGCAGCCAACGCTTTATAATTTTATGGTCCTTATTATTTTTTCTTTCTTTTTCCTTCGCTTTTATTGCATATATAAAATATCAATTTTTTGGCATCATCAGCTGCAGCCGAAAGCTTCCTTTTCCTCCTTTTGACCGCCGGGCACTTGAATGGCTTCATAAGCCATGGCCAAAAGGGTGCGCCCACAAAAAGGGCAAGCACTTGGACACAAGGGCCCGGCATTTCATAATTGGCATCGTTGGGAACGCGTTGATTGGCAAATTGTATGCAATTATTGAAACTGTGGGTTGCCTCTTTCTGTGCGATTCGATTTCGCATGCGAAAGGTTCGTTCATCTCTTCCGCTGTTGACATTGAGATAAACATAAAAATCTTTACGGAAGTCTCCGTTCGAACTGGAAGTGCTCTCTCATTTAGCCCTAATTGCAGCTTACACATGGGGCAGGCCATTTATTTGGCCATGCCCTCAGCAGCAGCATAACGGCCTGATGCACGGGGAAAAAACTTAAAAGTGTTTTTAAAGCTTCAATTATTTTAATTAAATTTAAGGTACTTTTTGAAAGGTTTTTACAAGTTTATTGGATTTTTATAAGATAAAGGAATTTATCAAGAATGAATGCATTTCTTTCTTTCTAGGCTCATGGATAAAATATATAATTAAATACTTCGGATAGTGGTATATTTGTTTGAGTTAAAAATAATATCTTAAAATATTCCATAATTATTTATATCTCTTAAAGAAATATATTTTTGTAGTATTCTGCTTTTTTCTCTGTGTGGGAGTTTTCCGCTTGGTAGCGCCACACTTTCCTTGGCGGGGAGTCTACTACCTCGTACTCTTAGTATATTATGCCATCGTTTAGTTCAGCTCAATTAAGATACAGCGCATCGAGAGCGAAAGCGATGGGTATATTTACATGTGTAGGCAAACTCATAGATCACCTAGCCAGGCCAAGCGCAACAAATCATTCTATAAATGGTACAACAACAACAGACACTGCAGCAGCGATGTAAACAATTTAAATGGCATTAAGTAATTCAACATTAACATTAAACTTCATGTTAAATAATTGTTGTTTTAGGAATGGAAAAAATGGTGCAAGTTTGGAGGAGAAAATGAAAAAGCTGCAGCTGAAACGAAAGACTTAGGCAACGAACTTGACCTTGCGGATTGGTACAAAAGAAAGTAAGGTGCTTGGAAGGTAAAATACAAATTTGGAGTAATTTAAATAAATGAGATTAATAAATAATTATAAAATTAATAAATTATTCCAATAATCTTTACCATGATTTAAAGACTATGTTTCTTTCCAATTTAAATTGTTTCAATTTATATTTACTTATTTACTTATTTATCTCTCTATTCCATTTTCAGCCTCGCAAATCACCCATAAAAACCCCTCTAAACCTATTTTTCAGTAGCTCGATAACTGCCTTTTCAATTGAGTGGCCCTAATTGAGCTCTCATCTTCAAAATCACTTGATTAGTTGCCCCGGCATTTGACACGCGTGCACCCAAACTCGAGAGCGGCAAAGGCAGTAACAAGATTGTTGCTTTGAACGTCATGGAGTCTGGACGCAGTTGCAGTCCTCAATCCCCAACGAAGTCGCAGACTTGGCTAAAACCGTGGCCAATCACTGAAGCGTTGCCGGCCGCTCCATCAACAGCAAAAATATTGGCAAACATTTTCCAATACTCGGCAGCAGCTGCGTCAAGTGTTGTAATTTATACGTACACTCACTCTCCCACTGTCTATTTTTGGGAACATTTTATGGGCCACATTGTTTTTTTGTTGTCTTTTTTGGCGAAACGAAACCATTCGCGAAATGCTCCAATTACGCCCGAGAATTTCCATTAAATCAAAAAAGCCCTTTTCGAGCTGGCGTTTTAATGCGAGTCATGAATCAATTTCGCTGGATTTGAGAAGGGTTCGATCTGGTTGTCAGGGGAATAAAGAAATAAAGCCGGCAAGGTCGTGCACCAGTGTGTGTGGGCCGGCAACTTCAATCCTGACCTAAGTCACTATAAAGCCATAGCTCGATTCGCTTGTCTCGCCTGTGGCTAAAAAATTAGCGATTGATGGCTTTCTCGCACTTTAAGCCGCCAAATGGCAATTTGCCAATTTCTCGGGCTTATCAGGGGGGCCAATCAGCTATTCAGCTATTAAAGAGCATGGCCCGCTCATTATGTAAACCTATCTGCCAGATATTGTATGTTCGCGTTATTAGCAAGTGTGCCTGCCCCGGGCCTCGGCCAAATGAATCAGAAAATCCGTGGTAGAAAAAAGATACTCACAGCCAAAACGAAAAAAAACTTGTGTCAATATTTCAATTTAACGGTTAGGAAAACGGCAAACTAACGCAACAAAAGCAGCCTTTTGTGTGACGTCTATTGCTCTTAAAGGTCTTTTTGCGCTTGCGGTTAATTTAAGACAACTTCTGTGTCCACTTTTGAGTTTGGCCAATTGGTGGGCGGACAAATGGATGGATTGGTGGGATGGGAATGGGATGAGTGACTAGCTGGCTGGCCCAACTAAGTGCCTCAGAAGGTGTAGACAGCGTTGGGAATTTCGCTTAAATTGCTGTCTGCGGTTCGCTTGAAAGTGAAACTGATTGGGGCTAAGTGAAAAGGTGGCGTGATTAAATAGGGCTAAAAAGAGTATGGCGTTGAAAGGCCTGCATTCCTGAACTAGGTTGCAATAACAACGTACAATATATCTTTATTGTTCCATGAAAGTATTTTAATTTATTGGGATAAGTTGGCTGTTAAAATAACATTTTTCGTAGAAGCTATAAATCCTAAATAGAAGAATTGTATTTATTTTTGCATTAAGAAATCCATAAAAAGGCCGATGGATAGATATTCAGTTCTTTATGTTGATGCTGAACAAACAGAATAATAATTATTTTTTTATTAATGGTTATTTGTCAATGTTAATTATTAGTAGGAAAAAAGTTATACGTAAATAATGGATATTACTAAAGTTGTGTCTTCCCAAAATTCTGGTAATGTCGTCACGAAAAAGTTTGGTTTTTGGGTCATCACCCCACTCATGCGACCTTCAAAACTCGCCTGTTCAGTTAGCATTTTCAGTTATACGTAAACCTTTTTCGCTGACCCCTAAATTTCACACCATTTCACATAAAAATGTCTCAATTTTTATTACTTTTATTTCCTTCAAGTGTGGGGTCATAAAAACACTATTTGGCAAGATTTGCGCAAATGGCATAGGAACTCGTAAAATAGGCGAATTTGTCAATAATCAATAGCGATATTTGGCAGATAAACTAGAAAGATCTACGTTGGGGGCCTTTAATTGTTTTCCATAGAAAGGGAAGTTGACCTTACCTTTGTTTCTCTTTCGATTTCAATTTCACCTTAACATTGACCTGAACTCGTCATGATTTTTGGGTCAAATTTAATCAGGGGTGGGGAATAATATGGGGTTTTCGGTTTTCGGTACGTGTCTGCGGTTGCATATTTGCGAAATCCCCCACCAACTGAAATAAACCGAAACGCAGATCGACAGACTCCAAAAATATGCATTTGGCCAAGAGACAAACACACGAGAAATGACCGCTCATAACCACATTGCCGTTATTTTGCATAACTTGCAAAATGTTTACACTTAATTGCAGTCTGCAGAAATGAGCCAAAAGCGAGAAAAAAAGAAACCAACAAAAGTGTTTATAAATTAAAGCAAACAACCTGAGAGTCGTTGGACAAGGGCTCTTCTTAGCAGTCTAGATTTCTTCTTTTTGACACCTCATTGATAAGGCTGCCGACTGTCCAGCGAAATGTTTGCAATCAGCTTAATTGATTTGCTCTCGTCTGGCGAATAAAATGATATTTTTGACAGCTCCGTTACTGTGTATAATCCAATTAAATGCGCACATTGAACTGTATTTCGATTAAAAAGGTGCAGGGGCTTGCCTATTTGAATTTATATAAGTGCATGCCGCAGATTAAACTGATAAGGTAATAATTAAATGGAATAAAAAAGCACAGTAATTGATTATTGGGGAAATATAATTTGTTGACAGAACAATTAATTGAAAACAATTGCATTGTATTCAATTATGGTTTCGATTTTGTTTAAGCTGCTTCTTAAATTGTCCATGTTTTGTTGTAATATTTTCACAATGAATTCAAATAAGTTTAAGTAACTTTAACTTTAAATTGAATTGGAAGTATGTTTTGTTGTACAATAAATAAATTAAATCAGTTCGTGATAAATTGTTTTTCTGCCTTAGTAATGTTAGAATTAATTATTCCTAGAAGAAATAATCTAATTCTTACAAACAAGGGAATAAATCTTATAGTCGTTCACTTTGGACTAAGGAAATATATATCACAATTTTTGAATAAATTAATTAGCTTTTAATATGCTTTTATTGAGTTTAATTCGACCAATAAATTTGATAATAATATTTACAGGTTATGACACCAATACTAAATAATAAAACTAATAAAAATAACATTTAATTTATATCAATAAACTAAAATTTGTTCACTTTTTAATTTGAAGTCAAGGGTTTGCACTTAACTAAGCAAAATAAATTGCAGATCATTTGTTCTTTGGGACTTAATAAACACGTTACGGTGAAACCGCGAAACCTTTAACAGAAGCTCATTAATAAAAACTCCGTACTTGACACGGTAAGTATAATTAATGAAACCACACTTAATATTTATTATTTTTCCCACACAGAATGTTGCACATACGCCCTCAAAGCATAACTCATACGCCCCGTTTGGCACTTACGTTTCGAAAATTCTCAGAGGCTGCACGGCTAATCCAAAGTTTGTCTTTTGCTGGGGGAACTACGGGGAATTCTCGATTGGTGCTTTTATTTGGGTCAGATGTAACCTTTTTGCATATTCACTGCAGCAAGCTAATTGATTTTGTGCCAATTAGAAGGTGTTTCTTTTTTTTGATTTTTAGTTTTACAATTGGTTTTTAAGAACTCATAGTCGCATTATCCTTCGCACAGACACTCGTCGAACTCTGTGGATTTAGTTAGCCGCATTTACTGACGATCGCGCCCGCTGGCGAGAGCATGTGTCGTTTTAAGTTGACGCGTCGGAATGAAAAACTCGCATGAATGGACCGTCGTCTGGGCAAGACGTTTTTGTTTAAAACCCCCCGACTTGAGACGACTTCGGCTGCGATCGCCGACTCAGTACGAGTGCCTTATAAACAGACCCGATCGCGTATCTGTATCTGTGTATCTGTGAGATACTCTCGTACTAACCAGAGTGCCGCAATCCTAGCCGCTGTTTAGATTTAAGGTAACAGAGCTTTACAGAAATTTGGCAATTGGCTTAAAACGCATGCTCATGCCCGAGGTGAGTTTCTCCCCTGTGTTGAATTTTTCCTTTCCTCAACAGGTAATTGGCCTGATTGGAGTCGGGGTTTTTTCGCATTTATGCTGAGTCACCTGTACTTTGGGTTACCTCTCTTGTTGGCTGTTTACTTGTTGTTTGCTCGCTTTTATCGCTGCTGGTGGTTCTAGCTAAGTGAACTTGACGACGTTTTATAGCTTCCTTAGTATTTCCGACTTTTGGGGTTTTTCTGAGGGATATGCGAGGCGACGGCTTGGAAAAAGGTGCCTCTTACTCAGGATTTTAAGTGCACCGGAAGAAACTACAGATTCAATAAAACAAAGCAAATATTTATTACAAATATCATAACAAAGTATATTAACCTACATAAAATGTATTTCAATGATAATCCTTATAAATCTATATACTTTTGAATAATTGAATGTTAATAGATAGTAGGAGAAGTCCCCTACAAAGAAAGTCCCTTTTTATTTATTTTAATTTTACATTGATTTTTAATAAAAAGTCAATTAAAAATATGTTGAATTTATTTAAAAATGTTATGCGCCTGCACTTTATTAAGTTAAAATTATAACTCGCGGTAAAACCAAGGCTAATTTCTTGTGAATGGTCCCATTGAAAACCATGCTTTATCAATTACACATAATAAACCCCAAATTATCCACCTTGAAGGCAATGGTTGTGAAAAACTCCCCATTTGCCATAAACTGAAGTGGAAAATTTTCCAGCCAGCGCAATTGCTTTTATGTGTCTAGCCAAACTGCCCAGTAAACAGATATGAGGCTCGACTGCCCTCTCTAGACAGTTAAATCCGACTACCGTCTTATTCAGACCGATCTAACTAATACGTATCTGCGATAACGCACTGACGTAATAAGAATAGCAATAATAATACCTTTTGTTGATCTCACCTGACGGGATCTGAACTCTTCAACTAGAGACCTGTATGTAGATAAAAGTTGATTTTACGGCCAAGAACTTGGTGATAAATTCAATGGAATTGATTAATTCTCCCAACGAGTGAAGAACATCAACCAGCTAAATCGATCATAACTTTCTTATGGCTATAAATAGTGTAAAATACCTAAAGGTAATTAGCATGGAATAAATCTACATATTGCATTGGGTTGGCTATGACTTCAGTGATGAGTTGATAGATGATGTGCTTTTGCTTACTTTAGATTTCAGCACATTAAATAGCATGACCGATACCGGAAACTGGTCTTTTGTAGAACAATTTGCCGCCACAAAGGAAGTTCTCCCGCAGTTCATAAGGGTCAAAGCCCAAAACCACTCGAAAACACTGGAGTGCTCGGTAAACTCGGTAGTCGGAACTAACTGAAACTGAAATTCGCGCGGATTACAAATGACACAGTTACCCAGTTATCGGCCAAGGATGCCACTGCAGTTATTTCTTGGCCCGAAGACCTTAATCTAACATACAGTACAGCCAGCCCTGAAGGTTGCAGTTGACAAGAACGACTTAATTGCAGTTGTGAAACTCGAAACTAAAGCACAAATAAAATGTTTACTTTACATTTGACAACAATAAGTTAAGACCGCAACGACACATGTTATGGGGACAAGTTGTGGTCGTTTTTGGACAACCAAAATTTTAATTTATATTGTTTATAATTATAATTGCCAGCATTTTGCGGAAAAGGCCACGGGGGACATTAAAAATATTCAAACTGCCTCGGCAGACGCTCCACTTGAATGGCAAGAGGAATTTACCTTTTGAATGACTTAAGTCTTTTTTTATATTTACAGAGGCCAGTAATGTCCACTCATCGCAAGTTCAAGTTTGCCAGAGTCCGGAGTTTAAATGGGTGATTAGTTAACGGCACGTTCGATTTAAATGGCCTGCGACAAAGATCTTAACTGCATGATCATGTTCGGTACTTGGTACTGAGATCAAAAACGCAAAAGTCCCAAAAAAGGTGGTATGAGACAAATAAAACGACTGAGCGTTAAAAACAAACTGCATATACCTTTTAAGTGTGTGAAATCGATATTGAAAGAATAAATATTATCCAATTTAAATGTTCTGTAAGCGTATAACATGAAAGAAAACTTTTCATAAAAGGCCCTAAAAAAGAACAATGTTTAAAGAGAGGAAATGAGTTATATCAACACAAAATGTTTCTTAAAATTGTAGAACAAGGGTATTTATTGATTTTTGAAAGGTTTTTTAATTAATTTTCGCGAAATGAAAACCTTTTTAACTTTACGACTATTTAGGTACTTAGAAATATAAAAGGTGCGCCAATGTGTGAAATATTTAGGTACAAATATTGATATTTAAGTAGTTTCAGAACTTACATCCATTAAAAGCCATAGTTTTGATGGTTTTATTGTTTGCCATTACCTTTTTTATAACTTGCTAATATTGAAAGTCCGGCTTCTACCCTTGACACTAAACTGATATTTCTGATTAGAGTTAGTTAAAGGAAAATCTTTCTGACGCTTGTTAGAATTTTCTACGTTTCGATTTCCTTCCTTAGAACTACACAAATCCATTGTCACCAAATAGTTAACGAGCTGGCAAACGTTACGCTTTGAACAATATATTAACATGTAGTTCCCCGCACTTCGAACTGGCCAAGCCCCAATATTGGATTGGCCCTTTCCTATAATATCGCGCAAACATTTTAATTTGTTTGTCAGACACTCGGCTTTAACTGTTGGTCAACAGGGGTAAGGGCCTGGATATCGCACTCGATGATCAACAAAGTGCGTCTGGAATAATACAAACTTTGAACCTGAGACATATTTTGATGTTATTAATAGTGTTTCGCCTTTGAAGAGGGTGTGACCATCCTTCACATCGAAAGTTGATTCACCTGAACGAAAACGAAAACAGGTCTCAGGTGTCGCTAACCAACCTAGAGAGGTTACTATAAATCCCCAGCCCAAAAACCCAGCCAGAAAGATTGAGAAGATCAAACGGCATCTCATTGCCAGGCGAATCGGAAATCAGACAGCACGAGCCATACCCATGAAATCTGTGTATGACCTAGCTAAAACAATATATGATATACGTAGTGCTGACTGGTTATGGCCATAAACTTATTGCCAAAAAGATGACGTGAAGTGCAGAAATTTTTACATATCCATTCATTCGATTTCTCACTGCCCCGGTGCTAAGCAGGCTTACAAAACGCTGCCTTCCAAGGGCCATAATTCACAGACGACTGGCCTAGAAGCCCGAGGAGTAGCGCTAAACCATCTAGCCAATTGGCCAACTTTTTTCGTATTTTTCTCTTTCAATTACCGCTTGAAGGACAACCCTGCAGGGTTCTGCGCAATCGGGGCTCTAAAACCATGGAAAGTCAGCCCCAGCAGGCAAATCTCTTTATGATGGCCAAGAAAATGAAAACTTTTCGCCTTGCTGTTGGAGGCGTTGAGATGGAAATAATTACCCGCAGACTTAATGTTTTAATTTGTGGAAAATGCTTTGCATCTTTGAGGATTTTTCAATTGAGTTCATATGGTTTGGGTATTAATTGCGGCTTAATTGGAAATGGTAATACGGGAAAACAGTAGGGGATTCATTTATTTTTCACGAAAAAATGTATATTCTGACTTAACATGTTACTGTTAGTGGCATAATGAGGTTATGTTAAGGCGAAAACAAAATTCTGCATACTTTTAGGAAGATTTATAATATTTCTTATGATGATAAACAAAGTAACTACAATTTATTCAATAAATTTAATGTTAACTTTATTTAAAAAAACAATAACACTCTTGTAATTAGATAATAGGTACAAACCGTATTATTTTACTGCAAGGTATAAATTTTCTACATCGATATCCCGCCTCTTTATAGAATGGGGCGTTACCTGATAGCTGATCCACAAAGCAAAACAAGGCTTCCCCCGACTGCCCACCGCTAAAGTGCCTCCCCATTACTTTTCAACAAGACTTCCATTGCAATTATCAATTACTGTCAAGGCTACTAATCTTGCGCCGACTATTGGAATAATAGTAATAGTTTATGCAGGGGGGTTTTACTACGATCGCACGGCGGAAAGCTCCTCTTCATTTACAGTTTAATTGATCCAACTGTAAACTAACTACAAATGGTCTTAAAATAAAACATTTACATTTATTAAAACTGGTTTAATATGACGTCAGGCAGTAAAGTGATTGCAGTGTGCGATAAACGAGACACCAAACGCTAGAGCCATAAAACTTCAGGTCGGCAGGTCTTCTGACCTCGGTTCACTTACGGTCGGTTAAGGGTCAACAAATTGCGGCAAAGCTCGTTATATTTATTGCACTTTTTTCGCTGTACTGTGCTCAATCAATTGTCATTCAGTTTGATCGATATATGTGCACTTCACTTACCCCTGGCAGGTCCTTGCCTGCAATTGCGATGATTAACTGGCTCATTGCCTGCTATTTAATTATGTTGCTTAATTATTATGCAATAGTTTTTTGGTCAATTCGGTGCTTTTTTCGGTGTTATGTAGAGCCAGTCACTGCACTTGATTAATTTTACGGCAATAACCATTAAATACAGCCAGAAACCTCTTTACTGGCTTATTTTAATTGTATATTTTAATTTAATTAATGGTTTCAGAAATCATATTATCTGGATGTCTACGCACAAAGCCTCGAAATCGACTGAATGGCATGAGAAATGTGGAGAGAGGCTATGGCCCTTAGTTTACTCAATTTCAGATTTCTTTTCGCAAAGTCAGGAGCGGATTAAGGGTATTTTAATTGAAATAAGATAAAAATAACATTATTAAAATATTTCTCAAATTAATTTCTCATTAATAAATATTGAAGTTTTAAAGAGATAATATTTTACGCCCCTTTTAGGCATTTATTACCTCCGCTGCGCTCCTGGTTTTTGAAGCATATTTAACAAGTCTTAATTGAACTGTGCGATTGACCTGTTGGCAT